GGCAAACAAATGCAAATAGATTGAAAAATGTATAATAGTACGTAATTATTGAACACTTTGGTATTGTAATATTCTACATGTACATAAAAGTATTCGTTCATATTATTGCGAACGAAAAGGTGACGTCAGTATCGCCTTCTGTTCTCTGTGCGTTGTTACAACAATGGCTCTGACTCTCATCTTTTCGTTTTCACATTTATCATAATTAAAGGACGCTATTTAAAATAATAATAAAATATGAAATAATATACAAACTCTAACTTACGTAACATCCAACTACGTAAATTGGGAGCGGGTGACTGATGACGAGGAATCTTTTTTTCATATTTATTTTAAATAACGTCTAAAAGATTTTTTACACGTAAGCTGCAATGTAAGAAATGAACTAACAAATATGAAATACTATACACATCAAACTTACGTTGCTTCCAAATGTCTCAAAACACACAAATTGCTATCAAAAAGCGTAGGATTTTCAAAGTGGGCGACTAACTTAGTTGCCTAATTATTTCAACAATACTCACATTTTGGAAAAAATCAACATGACCTAATTTGAAAATTTGTGCTTGATGAACACATTTCATTAAGAACTAGTGGTGCTACAGATTGGCACAGACTTTCCCGTATTAGTTTTCAATTTCGTTTGATTTCGGCTAGCTATTCGAGCTTGCCACATACTCTTTGCCAGCTCCCGTCTATCGCCGCCAAAAGTTTTTTTTTTAAATTTCCTTAATTTTTCGGTTTCCTAATAGTAGAAAACGGAAATGTTGTTTTTAAAATATTAAATAACAGTAAACCTCGACCGAAATTGATATTTTCTTTGAAAAATTTGGAGCGGTTTTAAAGAAAATGGTGATTAAGCGCTACAGTAAATTCGAAATTTGAAGAACTTTTTCACAGTGAACGTTTGAGTTTACTTAATTCTGTTCATTTAATAACGATCTTTGACATAATTTGTGAACATTTTGTACCTGTGGCCGCGAGGAACATTGGTGCCGTTACTAATGAAATAATGGAGAGGCATAAATACTTGAATTCAAAGCCTGTAAGTCGAAAAGTTCTGCACTTGTAATGCGGATCTCCGTATATTTCCATGCAGCAGCCAATCCAGGAATGGCCGGCGAGCATTGCGCCAGAGGTGATTAGCGGAACTTTTAGCCGTATCAAGATGCAGGATGGATTGCTGAGGCTTTTACGCTAGTAGCGGGCTATGCTCTAAGATTAATGCAGTCAGAATCCATATGTTGTGGGTCCTTGATGTTGAGAAATCTATCTACGGCAAACGTCTGTCCGTCGGTCCACGCCAGCAACTAAACCGCTCAACCTATATATACCGGTGTAGAAGGCCGTTCAAATATAATCGCGACCGATTTTTTTGTCTCAAATATCCCGCCGTGCATAGTCGCTGCGTCGCCTGGTGAGAATTTCCCCACCTTCCTCGTGTACATTTTAGAAACTGGCCTGTCGAGTTGGGGTGTTACTAGAATGATGAGTGAACGCGGAGCTTAGAACAACGCATTTTCATCAAATTTCTCGTTGGAGAAAAAGTCCAGTCGTATGAAATTTGGCAGAGACTCAGTAACCAGTAAGAGAAAGAGTGCCAAATTACATTTTTTGAAATTTTCTTAATTTTTTGTTTCCTAATAGTAGAAAGGAAATGTTATTTTAAGAATATTAAAGAGCAGTAAAACCTTGTCAAATTAAGCTCTACTGTAAATTCGAAATTTAAATCTCGTTTTTACAGAAAATTTTTGAATCTATGAAACACTTCAATAGACTTAATTTAATGCACATTAACTGACAAATCCAATTTTGTTTGCAAATTGCTGGAAATGCGCATATTAACGGCGTGAGAGATCCTTCAAATAAATTACATTTGTGTAATTTTTTAAAAAAAAATACACCGAAATGAACTTAACATCGTATTAAAGAGATAAATTAGCACTAATCGTTCGAAAAGTTTGAAGAAAAAATTTGGAGCCGTTTTTGAGAAAACGTCATTAGAGCGTTTCTGAAAATGCGGAATTTCGAGCCAGTTTTCACAGAAAACTGTTGAGTTTTTGAGAAACTTTATTTCAATGACATAATTTAAAGCATATGTACTCATAAATATAATGCGAACAAATTGCCGCTAATACAAATATTAAAGTCGTGAGAAACAAGTGAAATAAATTACATTTTTGAAAACAACTAAGAATTGAGCATTATGGCGTTTATGTCATCTCATAGAGTAAATTTCGCACTATCCTACTAAAAGTGTTTTTGGGGGAGCGGTTTTTGAGAAAGTTTTCTTTTGTATTTTTTTAAAAAATTGCACATATTGCTCACAACATTTTTATTTAACGAAAATTATTAATATTTTCAAGCAATGTACATGGCCTTAAAGAAAGAACGTACTATGGACAATAATTTTCATTTGTAGGAAAAATCTCTATATTCAATTTTATAGTTGTGAGAAGACGCCGAAAACAATTCAATTTTTTTTTTTCGAAAAATCAGAGTGAATCGTGGAAATAAGACACATGCCACCATTATAAGTATATTTTACTCTATTGTTACAAGAAATTTAAAGCACAAATTTGGAGCCGTTTTCGACAAAATTTAGAAAACGCCCGGGGGCCTTCATGTAAAGTGCGTTCAAATTTTAAAGAAAATCTCAAAGCTTCGGACTCGAGCCAGATGGTCAAAGGTTTCTTCAATTTGAAAAATATACTACGTTTGTTTTATTCGCTAGTAGTTATCAGACGGACAGATAGAGGGACGGTCTGAAAATAACCACTTTTGGGTATCAGGGGACCCCAAAACGTGTATTTCCGTTGAATCGATTTTCCTGGACTTCGTATATACGTGCGTATACGAAAAAATAAATAAATAAATAAATAAATAAATAAATAAATAAATAAATAAATAAATAAATAAATAAAAATATGCGCATGCAAGCGTTCACTTTTCTTCTAATGCGGTTTGATATTCAAGGACTGCCTATTGTAACCACCGATGAAACGTGAATTTATTATTTTATTTCCGAGACCCAGGAGGCAGCACATGAATGGTGGCACACCGCTTTCCCTAGGTCCTAGAGAGCTCCGACGATCCGTTCGTTGGGAAACGTGATGGCTATTTGGGGGGGGGGGGGGCTGGAAGGAATTAACCATGTAGACTTTGTTACAGCCTCCAAAACCGTCAATTAAGCGTATTATTCAACGCTTTTGGAAATGAAAATCAAAGAAAATATTCGGTCCAAACGGAAGATAGGTGAACATATGTAGCATTCCTTCAAGACGAAATGCAGGGCTTCATACTGCTAAAACAACCATGACAACCACCAATACATTGTAATGGGACCTTCTGCCACATTCACCGTACAGTCACGATTTGGCCCCAAGTGATTTTTACCTCTGGACAGCTTAAATCACACTTAGAAGCATGGGGTTGGTGGATAATGTGCCGTCAACCACAGTGTTGGGGAGTGGATATGCAATCAAAAATACATTTTTGAAAAGAGCATTAGGATGTTTCCAGAACGTTGTAAAAAGTTAATGGACTCTAGAAGGGACTACTTTGAAGAGTGACATGTTCTAATACCTTTTTGGTAATAAGGTATTTCGATGGGAAAAAAAAACTGAGTCAGGATTATATTTGTACTCCCTTAAATTTAAAGGAACTGGAGGTCCTGTGACTTTGAAACTGATATTTTCACTTTTCAGGAAACATTCCATGAATTTCAATTATATTGTAATTGTTTTGAAATTACATCAATATTTTTATTAAACTTTGTCCTCTCGTAGCGCAAAGGTTAATTAAAAGAATCGCGCAGGTCTCGTTGTCTTTGATACCTCTGATTTTTCGAAAATTGCAAAAGTTAGACATATGCAAGAAAGGATGTGCTGTTTTAGCACCACTAGTTAACTTTCTCTCCAATCTACGTTCTTACGTAGTTAACATAACCAGAGAGAATTGTAATGCTGCGACAAAAAACAGCGATTTTTTATATGAAAACTAGTTTGTATGTTTTTTGTTTTTTTATTCATCTGATCGGCATTGCTGCCTTTCAAGGGTGTTAATAAATACATTTGATTCCCTTTTAGGCTTTGACCATTCCAAACTATTCCTGCTAGGTGGCTACTTCTGCATATTCATACACTGAAGAGCGAAGAAACCGGTACACCTCCTTAATATCGTGTAGGGCCCCCGCAAGCCGCCGAAGTGCCGCAACACGACGTGGCATGGACACGACTAGTGTCTGATGTAGTGCTGGAGGTAGTTGACACCAAGAATCCGGCAGGGCTGTCCATAAACTCGTAAGAGTACGAGAGAGTAAAGGTTCTCTTCTGAACAGTACGTTGCAAGGCCCACACCGTAATCTACATGATAAGAAATTGATGGACATTCTATGTAATTTTTCCTGGTTCAGTGCTGCCACCAAGTAGCCTCCTTCGTGTCTTCGGAAAAGGTGGGTCGCCTTACCTTCGAGCTAGCTCAATCGGTAGAAAGGTAGCCTGAAAACAAGGCATGGCGGGTGGACGTTGTTTCGATTGAAATGAAAGGTGTAGAAGTGAAGTTAACATCAAGTTATGTGAAATAAGAAAGAAAATTCGCAATGACAATAATCATGAGGCATACTACGAGCTCGTTGGATTTTCCTCACAATAAGAACCACGAAACTAAGTAAATTCGTATCTTTTAGATTACAAGATTTTTCGCAGATTCTTTCTTAGGAGCCAAAGCGAGGATTAGAATCTTTCCTTTCTTTAAGAAAACAACAAAAAATTTGAGAAATGAGGATTAGAGAAATGCTTGGATTCTAAAGTCCGTTTATTTTGATGCCTGAGGGGCAGTTGAGAGCTTACAGCCAAGCTCTTGAAAACACGTCACCGTGGTAGCAGCTGAGTTCATTGATCCTCTGGGATGAATGGTTTCCCTCGTTGCAGCTCAGGCGTCGGCTGAAGATTCTTCACTGCCGCAGGTAGCCAGGGCGGGAAGTTTTGCTCAGCCGGCCCGGTCAACGCCCCCAGACAATGCCAATCTGGTAGTGACGACAGTAGGCGGCGGTCGCTGCGGATCGCTGAGTCGCTTCCGCGTGATGAAGTACTGGTAGCAGATTTCGTTGTAGCCTATGGTTGTAATTTATAAGTTCGTCGGACTTACAACTATGACGAATTTTGTAAAGGAATGCTTTTTTTTTATTTTTTTTATTTTTTTAATTAAGGCCAAACACGGCACAAAAGTTTATCTGGACTGGGAACACTCCGATTCAACAATATTTCTGAGCCCGAAATCAGAAATAAATTAACCTGACTATGCGCGGAGGTTCGGGCGCAGTCAGTGATCAGAAGGGACATCTCTCTCCTTGCCAGTTCTATTTTCTTCTCTGCTCGCTCGCGCAAGCATCCACGAAAGCCCCTGTTTCTCCCTCTCGGAATCCCAAAGTTCTGGGAAGGCCTTCTAATTGTACAAATCAAGCTGGTGATTGATTGAAACCAAGTGCGCAGTGGAATTATTTTGTCCAAGTCGCTAAAGGTGTTCTGAAAGGAAATTCGGGGTGGAATTAGTATTCACTGTTTCTTTGTTTCTTCGTCTCACACCGTGTTTACAAAAAACACGTGCGGGTCTAGCTGTATCGCTGAAGTAGGCGCGGATGAACATAATTTTCTCCAAAGATAAATAAACAGAGCAGTGGCGGATCTCAAAGTACGTCGCGGGTGGCCGGCTGTTCTCTTACCAATAGGAAAGGTCGCATGCGCGTCAAAGGGCCTCGGCGCGAGAAAGGCGCGTGAGAGCTCCTTGCGGCAGGCTATTATTGGAAAACTATTGAAATTAATATTTCTTAATTAAAATGTATTTAGTAACGCCACAAAATTTATCGACCCTACCAATGCTACATCTATTTCAACGCTTGGTGACGGTGGTTATGTTTGTGTTGTCACGCTTAGGAGGCTTAGATTCCTCGATCTTACCATTTACGCTTTCTGTGTATGCTGTGGTTTGCGCAAACTGAGGAGGTTTATTTGTATAATTATTATTTCAAGATTCGCTTACGCAGCAAATAGAAGTACAATTAATGTTGTTTCATGCCAATGAAGATTGTTTCTTATGGGTGAAGTGAGAACATTCATTTAACGTTTTGCTGAGGACTACAACTAACA